ATGGCACAGTGACTCAGTGATTAGCACTGCTGCCTCACAGCACCAGGTACCCATGTTTGATTCCAGCCTGAGGCAACTGTCTGTGTGGTGTTTGCACATTGTCTGTGCAGGTTTACTCCAGGTGCTCTGGTTTCCTCCCACACTCCAAAGATGTACATGGTAGGTGGATTGGCCATGCTAAATTGCCCATAGTGCCCAGGGATGTTTAGGTCAGGTGGGGTAGACATGGGAAATGTGGGGGTAGGGGAATGGGTCTGGGTGGGGATGCTGTGCAGAGGAGTGTTGTGGATTTGTTGGGCTGAATGGCCTGTTTCCACACTGTAGGGATTCTATGAACCACCTAACCTATATAAATGAACTTGCAAGCTTAATGCTCTATTAAGTCCCAAACTGAAACAGGAATAATGTACTAATGTTCCCTGGAAATTTGTAATAATATCAGAAAATTATAGAAAAATCATCCACATTGTGCTTATTTTAATTTAAAAGAAAGTTACTATTGGGAGCCTCTGAATTGTTAGTGTTATGCCCTAGAAGGAAACATCAGTATAAGCCTGTGAAAGGAATGGCTCTTCTTGTATACCTCAAAATTGAGCTCCAGCATGATCATGGTGTTAAATTCCAGCTGTTATTGTTATTACCTACTTTTCTCCAGCCCCCACCAAAATTTGGATGATCGTTACGACTGTGGGAAGAGGAGTGAGGCATATTGGGTGTATCAAAGCTCAGCATGTCAGGCAGCATTTGTGAAGAGAAATCAGAGTTAACGTTTCAGGTCCAGTGACCTTCTCTCTTTTTGGGCTCTTTCCCCACATATCATTTACTGCTTATCCCCTCCCACCACCCTATCTTCCGCATAAAAAGGATATTTTCCTAGCTACCATAAGTTCTGAGGAAGGGTCACTGGACCCAAAACGTTAACTGTGATTTCCCTCCACAGACGCTGCCAGACCTACTGAGCTTTTCCAGCAACTTCTGTTTTTGTTTCTGATTTACAGCATCCGCAGTCCTTTCAGTTTCGGAGAGGAGGTGTGAAGGGGAGAGATGCATGGTAAAGGGAGGCACAAAAACAGCAGGAGTAAGTGGGAGGCTGCAGAATGGATCACATTATGAAGGAGGGGCAGAGTACATGGCAACAAAAGAGGGATAAAACAGCATTAATTAAGAGTGAGTAGGGAGGGAATGTGCTACCTAAATTGAGAGTGGGAATGCAGTGTACACAAAAAGAGTGCCAACATATGATGTCTAAGACATATGAATGCTAGACATGTCACTGGGACGGCACGGTGGCTCAGTGGTTAGTACTATTGCCTCACACCGCCAGGGACCTGGTTTGATCCCAGCCTCAGGTGACTGTGTAACCTCCACACATTCTCCCCGTGTGTGGCGTTTCCTCCTTGTGCTCAGGTTTCCTCCCACAGATCAAAGATCTACAGGTCAGATGGATTGGTCGTGAGAAATGAAGGGTTACAGGGAGGGGGTAGGTTTGGGTGGGCTGCTCTTTGTGGGGTTTAGTATGGACTTGATGGGCCACGTAGCCTCCTTCCACACTGTAGGATTGTGTGCCCAGAAATTCCTGCAATGGGCTTATGCAGGTCTGCTGCCTGTGAGAAACATAGTATTGCAGTAGCACCCATTTCCCCAGGAGCATCTGAACTCATAAATGCACTTTTTCCATATGTCTAATGCTCACCCTACAATGTATTCCACTGAAATGGAGAGATCCAGCAATAGCCTAATGTAAAGTCTTGTGCTGATGTGTCACCTTCCACAGCACGGTAGGATCCTTCTTGCTCGACTGGGCCCGAGCTTTAAATGATTGTCATTTTCCGTGGGCTCTCTCTCACCTAAAGAGTCCAGATGGGGATGAATGTCCACAGATGGTTCATGTTGTTCCTGGTGCTTGCGGTAGTTTCTGCGTATACACCACCTCTGAGCACTTTGCACGTGTGGCAACAATGATCCTCAAAAGGTGAAGAATGAAATTCAGTGTTGGCCTCAAAGGTAGGCCAGCCGTAGTGTTATCCCATGAGAGGTGGTCTGCGATGCAGAAGTTTACGAGGCACTTTTTTTGGGATCCTGGGTTTATTTGCACTAACCATCTTGATATTGTTTGCTCTGGGAGCGTTCCCCATGAGAAAACCTGCTTTGGGAGTCTGTGGTCATTCATCAGATCTGCTCCACGTAAACATCCCAAAGCTTTATAGTCTTTCCACTTGCACCTTGACTTGCAAATATATCTGTACCTTTAGCACAGTCTGGAAATGCCCTTATCTGTATTTATCAGTGAATGACCCAAAGCAGCAATAAGCTGGAGCATGAAAGGAAATCAGAATGAAAGGGCATTATCAAGTGTGGAATGGTAATGATTCAGGGAACAAAAAGTGAATCTGCCAGGAGAGAAGATTCAGAAAATCTGACTAAACAGACAGATAGACTTGAACCAACAATAAAAAGTGAAAAGAAAGCTCCCAGCGAGTTCCTTTGATTTTTCACTGTTTTGTTGACCCATCCCCAGACTCGCTCATCGCTGTTCACAGTATATTTCACAGCCCAGTCTCTCACAGGCCCCCTTCACCCCTTGTACAGCAGGCTCCACTCATCAAATAAATGCAGCCAACCAAAAAAGCAGTAGAGACAACAAGCAGTTATATATTGTAATTAATGTTTAATTAAAATATATCAGATGCTTGACTTAATCCCAATAGAGCAGTTATCAAATAGCATCCATCAAATATAGTGTTGCAAAGTACGATTTTTAAAAATGGGGAATTGTATGCCCGAAGTTCATGGTATTATCGTGGCTGGAAGGAGCAGGGAAAGGAGACGATTCAGGAACATGTGTCCCAGTGATGTTGAGGTTAAGTTTTAAAGTCTCCAGATCAGAAGGGGAAGTAAGGTCAAGGAAGGCAAGGAATTTAGAGGGAAGGTGCCCGAAGCAAGTGAGAAGTTTGAAGTGAAGGTGCCTAAGGGAAATGGGGAACTTGAGGGAATGAGACTGAGGAAAGCGAGGAGTTTGGAGGGAAGAAGGCTGAGGAGCAAGGAATTTGGAAGAAAAGTGAGGATTTTGGAGGAAAGTTGCTTGAGGGGAAGGGGGAAACTTGGAGGGAAGGAGCCTGAGGAAAGTGGGGTGTTTGGAACTTAGGTCGTCAAAGGAAGTGAGGAGGGAGGTTCTGGGAAAGGCTGAGGTAGTGAAGGAGATGAGGCTGGTTAGTCAAACACTGAGGGTATCTTTTTCAGACAAGTTTAAGACAGTCCTTCTCCACTCAATACCCGTTACTATATTTTGTTAGTTTACAGCTTATTTCCTGAAACATAAAAATAAGCAACATTTACTCAAGAAGGGATGGTAGGAACTACAGATGCTGGAGAATCTGAGATAACAAGGTGTAGAGCTGGATGAACACGGCAGGCCAAGCAGCAACAGAGGAGCAGGAAGGCTGACGTTTCGGGCCTGGACCCTTCTTCAGAAATGAAG